CTGCAATCATGAACTGCAACTGACTGGTGTACTGCGGTGGAGCGTGTTGTGATGAACTCGCTTAGCCGTTGGTCATTGCACTGGGCACTGGGATTGCCAATAAAGACAACTACACGCTTCTTGCGGTGAGGCTCTTCAGCCACCAACTGCCAAGAATCATCCTGGATGGCTTCCAAGTCCAATGCAGGGGTTGCGTTGGGCTTGGCTGGCATGTGTCCAGATCGACGTCCTCCATGCTGCTGAAAGTCATCTGCGTCCGAGCACTCCGTGCCTGAGGGCCCACTGTCCTCGATCACTTTTCGAAAGTGCCGCTACGGGATACGGCCTCCATGTGCGCTCCAGTTGTTTCCTGATCCTGCAGATTATGCTGCTGCTTGCTTGCATGGTTGCCTTTGGTACGGGTACGGGGTGTACGCTGGCTGTTGAGAGTATGGGTACTGCCGGGCAGCTCCGAGGAGGAATCCACGGCTGTAATGGCGGACTTCTTTTCAAGGGAGACACGAACCTCCGCCTTCAACTCCACGATTTGTGCAGAGAGCTCATCTAAGTGTCGTAGGAGGCACCTCTCCCGGTCTCTCGACTCGCTGACAAAGGTTGTCAGAGTCTGCAGCAAGCTGGCCACATTTTGCTCGATACCAGGCAGAGAGCAGAGCAGTTTTGTCGGCTCGCCTATCGGCTCGCCCATGTCAAAAAAAAAGTAGGACTACGACTATGGGCACCACACTACTACTGCTACCTATTGCACTGAACTACTACAACCACTGCAGTTCAATTCACTTTCTCTTCTAGCCGCAGACGTCCTTCAAGCGCCAGCAGTCGCCACGGATGAAACGACACCCACGACCGTGCGGAAGGCACTTTGGATTGATGCTATCGTCAATGGCCAGTCGGTCCGCATGCAGGTCGACACTGGAGCTGCGGTGTCAATCATTCCGAGTGCGATTTATCAAAAGTCGCTGTCTGCCTCGCCTCTCACCGCGAGCAAGCTGAAGTTGCGTACGTACACCGGCGAGCCCGTGCATCCTCGCGGAACGTTCGTAGCACGCGTGGAATACTACCATCAATCCGCGGAGCTACCACTGCATGTGGTGGACACGCAGGGGCCAGCGCTCTGTGGCCGGGACCTGCTTGCCCACATCGCTCTCGACTGGCAGCGCTTGTTCCAGGTCGAGATGGCTGACGTCCCCTCCGCAACCGTGTCCCCTGGCCAACTGCATCCAGGATCAGCAGGCACACGTCTTGAGCAGCTCAAGGAGAAATTCTCCGATGTGTTCAGCGACGACTTTGGCAAGCTCAAGGACGCCAAGGCTCGTCTCCAGCTGAAGGACGATGCAAGCCCTCGCTTCCTCAAGGCGCGCCCATTGCCCTACGCCATGCGGCCAAAGGTGGAAGCTGAACTGGACAGGCTGGAAGGTCTGGGTATCGTGAGTAAGGTACAGTGGAGTGAGTGGGCGACATCTGTTGTGCCTGTGATGGAGCCCAACGGCTCAGTTCGTCTCTGTGGAGATTTCGAAGCCACATTGAATCCACACCTGAAGGTGGACCAGCACCCGCTACCACGCGTGGAAGATGTCTTCGCCACCCTGGCTGGAGGCCAGCGATTCACCAAAATCGACCTAAAGCAGGCATACCTCCAAATGGAGATGGATGACGCATCCAAACCACTCCTCACACTCAAGATGCACAGGGGCCTGTATCAGCTCAACCGACTCGGGTTCGGTGTTGCCTCTGCACCAGCGCTCTGGCAACAGGCTATCGACCGCATCTTGCACGGCGTCCCAAGCCAGGCCTGCCTACTGGACGACATTATTGTCACCAGCCGCAACGACGATGACCGCCTGGACAATGTGGAAAGCATCCTGAGTCGTCTGTCGGAACACGGCCTGAGAGTCAACCCGGCCAAGTGCACGTTCTTTGCAGACCAAGTCGAGTACTGTGGACACCTTGTCAGTCGCCACGGCTTGCGCAAGACTGATGGCAAGGTCAAGGCTATCAACGAAGCCCCAGCACCGCAGAACGTGTCCCAGCTACGGAGCTTTCTGGGCATGGTGTGCTACTACCAGCGCTTCCTCAAAGACTGCTCCACGACCCTGCATCCACTGAACAACCTGCTCCGAAAGGGTCAGTCTTGGCACTGGATAACTGAATGCGCGGCTGCATTCAAGGCTATCAAGGCAGCCATCGCCTCGGATCAGGTCCTCATGCACTTTGATGCCGACCTGCCTGTGCAGTTGGCAACCGACGCATCGCCATATGGCCTGGGGGCGGTGCTCTCGCACATCATGGCGGATGGTACGGAAAGGCCGATTGCCTTCGTGTCACGGTCCATGACGGACACCGAGAAGCGGTACGCCCAGATCGATAAGGAGGCGCTCTCTATTGTCTGGGGCGTCCGCAAATTCCACACGTACCTGTTTGGCCGATCGTTCGTCCTGCTGACGGACCATGAGCCGCTGACAGCCATCTTCAGTCCTAGCAAGGGATTGCCAGCCATGACGACGGCCCGCCTACAGCGGTATGCTATCTTCCTAGCAAGCATGAATTATGAGATCAAGTACCGCAAATCAGCCGATCATGCCAACGCTGACGGCCTGTCACGACTACCGTTGCCACACTCACCACAGGATGAGAGCCTAGACTGGGCAGACGTGTTCAACATGGCCCAGATCGATCCGCTCCCAGTCACGGCAGCTGAAATTGCGCGTCACACAAACCGTGACCCAGTTCTCGCCAAGGTCCAAACCAGTGTCAGCACCGGACGGGCCCTGTCAACAACCGACGGTGACATGCAACCGTTTGTACGACGCAAAGATGAGCTGGGCCTACACCAAGGGCGTGTCATGTGGGGAATCCGTGTCGTCATTCCTTCCCCACTGCGCCACCGAGTACTGGAGGAGCTGCACAGTGGCCATCCTGGGCTAGTTCGGATGAAAGCACTAGCCCGCAGCTTTGTATGGTGGCCAGGCATCGACACAGACATCGAGCAGACCGGCAAGGCCTGCCTCGGCTGTCAGGCACACCAGGCGGCGCCACCGAAGTCACCGCTACATCCCTGGGAGTGGTCGTCCAAGCCATGGCAACGCCTCCACATTGATTTTGCCGGGCCGTTCCAAGGGCACATGTGGCTGATTGTGGTGGACGCCCACAGTAAGTGGCCAGAAGTGCTCCCAATGAGCAGCACCACTGCCCCGGCTACCATACGCCGTCTCCGAGAAGTGTTTGCTCAACATGGCCTGCCGGACCAGATCGTGAGTGACAACGGCCCGCAGTTTACTGCCGATGAGTTCCGCCGTTTCACAGAAGCCAATGGCATAACGCACACGTTCTCAGCACTGTACCACCCAGCGACTAACGGGTTGCCTGAACGATTTGTGCGTACAACGAAGCAGATAGTCAGGTCCCATTCTGCTACAGCACCGCTTGAGTTCTTGCCTCGCTTCCTGTTGGCCTATCGCACCACGCCCCATGCTACAACGAATGCCACACCAGCATCCCTGCTAATGCACCGGGAGCTACGCACTCGGCTGTCGCTGGTTCAACCCAGTGTCCAGGCATCGGTTGCCAAGAAACAGACAGCTCAGCGTAGTGCAAGATCAGCGAACCGTGAGCGCACGTTTGCTGTGGATGACACCGTCATGGTACGTGACTACCGCACCAACGCACCACACCCGTGGATTCAGGGCACCGTGCAAGCGGTACACGGCTCCCACCACTATACAGTGGAAGTTGGCCCAGACCAGCAATGGAGGCGCCATGTTGAACAGCTCCGGTCAGCCGACTCCGCTCCGCAATCATCCGTACCGATGAACACAGCGCCTTTGCCGTCCGTGGCAGAACCGGATCACAGTTTGTGCTTTCTGACTGCTCATTCGCCAGCTACAATCCATTTCAAAACTATAGACGCGTACCTAGGCAAAAACCGTTATGCCAGCATCTATACCACATAAAATCTGTGATCACTTTGTGCATAAATTTTTCCAAATTGGGCGTCTGTTATCCAATCCTTTAGAAACTATATGAGAGTAATTGTGGAGCGATCCTGAGCAATATACCGAAAACTATTCTCAAAAAGTTCCAGCCAAATTTGAAATATTTCAAAAACCCTACGCGTCTATAGTTTTGAAATGCACTGTAGTGTTCCGACACCACCCAGTGTTCAAGCCGCTGCTACTCCCAACACCTCCGCCTGCGAAAGCACCAGTAGCAGCAACAACTGTAACGCAGCAGGTCCAGTCGCCGCTGGCACAAGATACGACCGAACCCCGCCGTAACCCTCCGAGAGCCCGAGTCCTGCCGGCTCGCCTGAGAGACTGAATTGCTTCTTGCTCACACAATTGCTGTTCCGTGCTCTCAGCTCATCCGCTTCTTCTTCTTGTGCATTAAATAAAAAAATGCAAGTACTATTGATCCACCCCAAAACCACAACCGCTTAGACATGAACTCTCTATAGCAATTCATTGTACTGCCACCCAGCACCCAACAAATCCCGCACCCGGGATACAACTTCTATATCCTCTAGCACAATCATACCTCAACGCTTCTTATTGCTTTGCAACCGTAGAATAAACTTGTATGTAAACTCTACGTGTGAACCCACAGTCTCTTGGTTAGAGACACAACAACCACTGTTGCTCTCCTTGCCGCTCAGGCATCCGCCTAGTCCCAAAGACATCAGCGTTAACTGCAACGAGCCACAAATATGGTGCAAAGCGAAATGTGGTCTTCATAAAAATAATAGTTCACATACTCTGAAATGCACACTCAAGTTTTGTTCTCAGTCTGCATTGTCCTGGTATCCTGCATGGCGCAGTTGCCGCTGCCGCTGTGTATAGATCGCTCGCATGTGCGCACCGAAACTGTATCCAAAGCTCGTTGCACGTTTGTGTTTTCATATGCACCTTTGCTCCCAACACATCCCATACTAACTTATTGTAGGTGAAAACTAGAAAGGAAACTCCACATTTCTTGATCGACTAAGGTTTCCTGTGTTTCTCATACAGGTCTTCTGCGAGTACTGCTGTGGCTTCTTCACCCTGACCCTCTGAGTCGGTGCACTATCACACAATTGCGCAGCTGCTCGTGGATGAAGCAGCAAGTGGATATGAGCAAGTATGACTTTGATATGGTGCTACGTGGCCAAGGTTCGTTACTTACTGTTGTTTTGGGGGCTGCTGTCTGGACTGTGTGTGTGTGGGGGGGGGGGGGTCTACCTGTCGACTTTTTCATTATGACTTTACACCCCGTGGAGCGTTTTGGGCATTCTTGAGCCACTCGTTTTTAAAAGGGTGCCTGAAGCGGCTTGCGAACTGCATCGCAGCGAATGAACACTTTAGCAGCAGACTGCAGATCAGCAGGCAGATGGATGCAACTGTGCTGTCCGGCATGATCGCTGCAGCCGACCGAAGAGCCATGATAGCGTTGGCTTCGGGAGAAACTGCCAAAATCCGGTGAGATCTTCAAGTGGCAGTGTCTCGGAGCTCAACGCGGGTATCAGGCCGGCCGGCCTTCTCTGGCAGCCGCTGGATGAAGAGTTCGCGGAACAGTCAGTCATCCATCATGTGGTCAGTTAATAACTGCTGCATCCACCGCAACGGCTGGATGGGCTTACGGTTACCTAGCTCCTCTTCTGATAGGAGTAGGCTGATTCAGCGCTGCTCACTCAGCTGTGTTCATTGTATCAGACGAGCTTTCAGCTCGTCACATGTATGGAGCATTCTCTGGTGGGCTGAGGATGAGGCCTTGCACCTCGGTGGCGAAATCAGCACTTACATTGCTTATGACATGGTGAAATTTTGTCGATTTCCTGCTGATAATCCGTGTCCAGAACAAACTTTCCACCACGCCGAACCAGATTTGCGGATCGCTAGTATAGTAGGGCGGTAGCCTGACCGCTGTGATGGCTGACACGACAGGACTGTCACTAGTCTGTCAGCACGGGATGCTGGTGGGTCAGCGCTGGCAGCCAGCGACAAGGGTACATTGTCCTGTTTCGGCAGACGAAGGTGCCTGCTTGGCGGCCGACCTGTGCTCCTTTTTGCCAGTCGCTGTGCTCTTGGAAGCCAGAGCGGTCTCAGAGCGAGTTAGCAATTTGCTACTACCGGTAGGTGTGCTGGGAGTACCTGCAATACCTGTGCCGTGGGCCGTAGAATCGCGCTCCATCGCAACACAAGGTCTTCGAACAACACACGGACGAAATGCTCACAGCGAGTTCGGAACACCGGCACTTGGGCTACACAACGCGGTAGCCTGATACTGACCGGTTGTACGGGGTCACCAATTTTGAAGGAAAGCGGCTCCGGTTATTCACCAATTCACCCACAAACACCAAGACTGTAAGAGAAGAAAAATAGGGTACTGTACTTGTTGTTGTCAATCGTGTGCGGCAGAAGCAGAAAGGCAACGACAGAGAAGGAAATAAACGTGTCGGATAACTGTGTAGAATGCACGCCCATACGGGACTGGGTTGTACAGCAGAGCTCAAGGGTTCGAATGACCGCACGGCACGTACAGGAAATCGTATACAGGAATCTGGGTGACAAACATGGTGTACGCTGTGCCGTACACCTCCACAAATGAAAACATGATGTGTAAAAGGGAAAAATCTGATAATCTTTATAATATTCAACCAGACTGAACACAAATCATTCGGAAAATGCCCAGCAGGTTGCTACACTAGCACGAAGATTCTACATGTTGTCAGTTCAGAATGTAAAACAAACTAGGAAACTTTTGCTAGAACTTCAGTCACGCTTCTTACCTTTTAACCATTTGTAACGTCTTGTATGTACCGGTACCCATAAACTTAGGTCACCAAAAATTCAAAGTCTGACATGCGGCTTATACTCCGAATGTCAAAAAATACGAATTTTGGGCACTTTTAGTGGCATGGAAATCTTAGTGCATCTAGCAGATGGGTCACATTCGGTACAGCTTGGTGCCGCAATGTTGTTGAGTGTTGCATGCATGTGATGGTGTACGGTTTTCCTTTTTTGTATTTCGTTTTTCGATTTTTCCTTTTGTCCAGCCATTGCCTTGATGAACAACTCCAAGACAAAGATCCTTGGTTCTTCGCAGAAAGGAAACTCATCTAATCGTTTCTGTCAGAGTCGATAAGCCTTTGCCCTTCCTTTGGAATTTTTGAAGGGATATAGAGACGATGCATTTAGACTTTTTATGTTCCGAACGCCTGTTTTGTTCCGGCCTTCTAATTTATAATACTGGTGCGCCTCGGCGTGCGTGTATGTGGCATTATCAAACATGCAACATCTTGAGCCACCTACTTTTCTCTTTTCATGTACATTGTTATGACTGGTCACAGGGGACTAGGTAGGACCATAGTGCTACGCAAGAGCATTGTCTATTGATCATCTACTTAGGACCTGGTATTTTACATGTAGTACGGTGCATGTGGGTTGTTCTTTATCCACGCCAAACTTAGCATATATATAATTATTATATTATAGTACACACTGGGTGTGGAGGGTTGCGTCAATGTTGTCATTAGCTCACTTGTTCATTCACAGAATCTAGCACTACTGGTACGACTAGCCTGCCGGTACTGCCTGTAGTTTCTGCTCACTCACGTTGCAGCATATTTTATTTATTTATATAATAGACGGGTTTAACTCTGAACACATACTGCCTGTCACATTCACATGATACTACTACGCTGCGTCAGCATTGTTTGTTTGTTTGTATTCTTTATTTAGAGTGGGAAGTCCAAAACAGGCCCTAGCCTAATAACAATGGTCCCACTAGTGAGGGAATGCTGTATATCTGTGCATAAGGATTAGTGAGTGTAACAGCAACTAGTAGGGAAAGAAAAAGAGAGAAGAAAAACAACTTAAAACAAGAGTTGCGACTTGCATAGGAAGAATAACGGAAAGAGCAGTGCATACAGCATTTGTAAAAAAGGCTTATGTTGGTACTTCAGCTCCTTCCATTAGACTAAATTATGCACAACACCACTCACTCATTTCATCAATCTACGCCTTCTCCATTCGGACATGATTATGCCCAATGCCGTTCACTTAATTCATCACATGCCTTCCCGGTCAGGCAAGATTACGCACAACGCCACTTGTTTCAATCACATGCTGTTGTGTTTGCTGGTGTGAAAGCTGTCCGTGTCTACCACCGTGGGTCAGTATTCCTTGCAGTGCAGTTTGGGTGTGGGCTAGCAAGAAATTTCACCCAGATAAAAGTGTCCTGTATAAAGAAGACGCACAACACTCAAGCGCGACTAGCTGAACTGCGTGACATTCACACCCTGCCCACTTACATCCTAGGGAAACTACTAGTTCACACACTAGATATTTTGTGGAAAGCAGCACATGAATGATGCACATCATAGTACTTCACTAGCCATAGTTCAGCTTTCCTCCAGACCAAATCTTTCCATCGAGTAGTCTCAGTACTAAGTTATTCGAACTGAGGAAGTTCTTAGCTCTCAGCTTGAACACATGCAACAGTAACACAGGGCAGTGGGAGGGAATAATATGCACTGTTCTCTGGCGTCAGGCTTCGACACAAGGTTTAACTTGAAAACTCCAAGGGTTTGTAGGCCCAGCCAGCCACCAAAGCCCCCAGTACAACCCCAGCTCACTACAATGAACACACAGCCAGCAATCGTCACACATCAAAGAGTTTTGCTACATCACAAAGCAACACTGACACAATGGTCCAGGTGCTTGTAGTAATCTTCGATGTGGCTAATTCTGCCTGAGATCTTTCATGAGCTCGGAGCAGTAAAAAATAAGAGATGAAAGTATCTAGAGATACACAGTTCACACTGTGATGACAATGGGGACGTTTAGCAATGCGAAAGTTCGAACTCTTGGTGGCGGTGCTATTTCGCGAAAATCTATTTCGAAAAAGGAAACCTTGTGAGGTTTAGCAATGCGAAATGACTTTTCTCGAAGTTATTTGAACCATGTACCATACCGCATCACGTAGCTCAGTCTCAACCAGGAGGCTGTAAATTTAATACTCCCTGTCGGCAAGTGCGTACCGAAGAAAGAGAAAGGTACTTCCGCAAATCACTGCAACTATTAAACTTCGTGTCCAAGTTTTCGAAGTTTCGAGCTTGTTTCTGTACTCATTCGCAGACTCGAATTTTCTTTCGAACTTTCGCGTTGCTAAACGTCCCTAATAATCAGTTTGAAGAGACATAACCACCTCTAGTATTGATTCCTAATTAAAATCATGAAAGTGTTTTCAACATCACAGTTCTGCACTATGCTGCCATTCCATACCGCTCATCGCATATGCAGCGTTACAGTGATGTTCGTCTGGTTCTCCTTCCGGTGAATGATCGGATCATCCATTATCAATCGCTGAAATCCAACCGCTCTTGGCAACATGGCAATGAGGAACTTTCGAATGGCCATGTCTTCCAGCAGCATGTTGCCTTCGAACCAGATTTTCTGGGACTTGTCCATGTCCTTCGGTATGCTGTAGGGAAACGGAGCATAGGCACTTGGCCACGACGCACACTTCTGCACGTTGTGCTTTCTTCTGAAGTACTTGATTCTTCTCTGTCTGTACATCATGTTGTTTACTTCCATTTCTCTCTCAAACATCCTTCCAAACACTGACCCCAAGATGGGGAGCGCCTTTACAGGTCTTCCTCTCGACCCCATCGCAATCTACATAATCTGTCAACACCAGAATTAGTGGTAGAAATGAAACAGCCTTGGCTCAGAAGAAAATATTCCAATGCTTTTGTATTTGCAGATTCTGGAATCTCAAATAATTTTCTCATAATTATCGAACATCATTCATCAACTCAAATCATCTTCACGTTTTTTTCTTCTCTTTTTTTTCAGTTTTTGCTGGTCGTTTTTATGACTGTGAAAAAGTGTGAAGTCGGGGTAACCAGGGATACAAGCAACGCTACCAGGACGCGGATCGCTCGATCGCTCGATCGCTTTTCCTTTATTTGACAAGATCGGTGAGTGGTTTCGAGTTTCGTTTCAGGCAAGAAAAAAGTGAAAAGTGGATCTGAGCAAGAGACTCGCTGTGTTTCTTCTACTAATGTTCAGCAGTGTTTTCTTGCAGTAGGCCCTCTCTGAAGTACCCCGGTATTGTTGGATGTGGTTGGCTTTTCTTGATGCATGTTGCCGTGTATGCCATGCCCCAGCCCGTCCGGTTTATTGAAGTACATGACATGTAGTAGTTTTTCAACTTTTTGGTCAGTTGGCATACAGCACTTGTCGCCAATGTAGGCTACAGTATAGCCCGATTTATACCCGGCACTTTCTGTACAGCTGTAGTACCTTTTGAGTCTGAGGCGGTTCACAGGCATACACCATGTACACAGACTCAGTGACAGTGTGCATCACTTGAGGTGTTCCCCAAAATTTGTGTGCGAGCAAGATAGAGATTAAACACAGGTGTGAGACACTCAGCCGACTCAGCCAGGTACGTCTTCATCATGGCAGTCTTGTCCTTATAAATAGCTGCACCATACAGATTTTATTGCACATCTCGGGTTTATGCACTGGTTGAAAGCAGGGAGTACTACCTGGTTGAAAGGGTCCACACATGGCATGTGAAATAAATGCACGGACATGCGCTGCAGATCAAGCTGGGAAGGTGTCCGAAATTCTGATCCGGAAAGCAGTACTGCTCCCTCGTAGGGATAACACACAAGCGTTGAGCACACATCTTTCAAATGTGGATGTTCAGATGTCGGATGTAAAAAAACTGATACCCGCGTAATGTCACTTATTATAGCCTGGCTTACTGTACAATGTATTTCTGTAGAAGCTGAGCAAATGTCAGTGTTATTCAAATCAGGCTTGAAGTCGAAGCAGGACCTGGTATTTCTATGTACATGTCCGTAAAATCCCGCCAGAGCGCCCCGTCTCTCCCGTGCGCCCCTCCCTGACTTCTTGTCTGGGAAGTGAGAATCCTCGTATGACTCTGTAAAGTGTGATGTCGTACCGCACTGGAGACGCATGCTCGACCCGGTTGGAAATGTATGCACCAGTTCACACCTTCTTGACCAGGGATCGCACAAACCCTGGGTTTTGATGGGTCTGTACGACGTCCTGCTCTTGACCTTTGGTCGGTGTACGAGACACACGCACAGTTTTCGTAGGGCGAGTACTTTTTCATGTAGTACCGAATGCGCCGAGTAGGACTCGCTCATCCGCCCCTCGCCACCTGGCCCTACTCGAAGGGTGGCGGAGGTAGGGACGCTCTGGCGGGATTTTATGGTACATGTACGTATGTTCACACTAAAACCCGGCTTATGTGCCGTCAGTGCATCTGGCAAATCAGGCTCGTATTTAAAACAGGCTTTGATTGATTGATTTTATTTTACTTCGCAAGTTCTTACGAGACAGGCTTGAATACAAGACGCTACGGTATCATTCTGTAATGTGTCGCAGTCCCTAGAAGCGCTGGCAATTCGGGCATCCACACCCGGGGATGATCGCCCACCACCCTGATGATGGTGTGCGGGTACTTGAACTTCGGGGGGGGGGGGGCACTACATCTACTCCACCTAGCTGTATAGTACGTCTGGTGTTGAGTTGTTCACCATCAGCCCTCAGCATTTCTTGTAGTATACCAGGAGCCCCAGCTGCCTTCATGTTCCGCAGACTTGCAATAGCAATACTAGTCTAGAGTGGACAACCAGAACCTCACACGCATCTGGTGACGCAGCACACAGCTCCTTATCCACATGTCATGTAGTTCACACACACACACACACACACACACACACACACACACACACACACACACACACACACACACACACACACACACACACACACCACACACACCACACACACACACACACACACACACACACACACACATACACATGCACACAGGACATAAACACGTGACAAGAGATGCAACACCTGGTGACAGCGCTGAAAGTGACAAGTGTGATTTGTAACAATGGGCGCTTTCGATTACACGTTTACACAATTCTGGAACTGGGTTTTATAATTCTCGAATGACCAGAATGTACAAATTCTGGCCATGTAAACGAACGACTGGAGTTCACAACGCATTTTATTCATGGCATATCACAAACAAAATTGGTCGTAAAAAGAGATCACGTACACCCTCGCGCGCACGTGGACCCAGCTTCGCGTACCGGTGCATCCCGGTGAAGGCTCCATGTCGGCAACAATATTGGGCTTCGATAAAGCTGAACGCGTGTGCGAAAGGACCACCCAAAATGATCTGGTCTAATAATCAGCTCCCAGCGGAAACTCAACTGCGGCAATTAGCTCAGTTTCGGGAAGACAAAAGAAGTAGCAACTACACGCAGTTGTAGCCCTGCTTTCGCGCCACACCGGCCAGGGAGGCTCTTCCTTGACTTGAATCATGCATGGCCAGACCGGTGACACACCTAGTGTGCAATTCTGGCGCCAGAATTAGAGAAATTTCGCCCTCTCTTCAGAATTGACGGAATTGGATGAAATCAATTCTAACGATGGAATTTGTGTAATCGAACTGTGCACCAACAATAAATAATTCTAGAATTGACCGAAATGTGTGTAATCGAACGCGCCCAATGAAAGTGAGAAATAGAGATATCAAGTGGGTACTGGCAAAGTGCTAATCCGCTACAATGTGATAATGATAGTTGATAACAACTATACAGTGCGCAGAGAACAGTGATGACCAAGCATGCCCACAACAAGCAAACGAAACCTTACTTGAACAACTTTAAAAAATATATAAAAAAAGTAATTACACTATCTTTCTGACTGTATATAGTACCATGTCACAGTGATGGAGAGTTACTCTTAACTCGTATCCATATGTTTTTTTTTCTCTTCCACACTATCTTTCTGAATACCGAAATAATTGCGCCAATACTATCATAGGTACCTGTATCTCAAGTGCATGGACACAATCACTATAGTGTACATGTACAACTACTGGAAGTACATGTACATGACTGTAGATCTACACTGTACATCATATTCATAATCTGAGCCTTGCCATGCGCATATGCCACGAGAAAACCAGTCAAGTGCAACTGCACGTGAAGTGCAGAAAACGA